AATAGGCAGGGTGCATCTAACAGAGATGCTCTACAAATGCAATTTCTTCTCCAGCCACCTTCCCCCAACTGGACAGCCTTGCAGCATTGTTCCTGTTGGTCTGAAGCTGTCACAAGAAAGTGGTTCCCAACGTCAGGATCCACTCGACATCCAAGTGGGTCTTTGGCCTTGAACAACAAAGAATTCTAAAGTGAATAAGCAATAGACTAAAGCAAATGCCAGTTTTATTCAGAGAATGTAGGAGATCCCCTCTACAAACAAAACAGAGGCTAGTTCTCCCTGCTGAGACAGCTCCTTTTTAAAATTTATTTTTAAATTTAAGTGATAGTTTAATTATATACTAAGCAGGGAGGAATATTGATGTTACTTCTTGGAACAGAGTGGTGATTTCCTAGAACTGGGAACCCTTTCTTTACTTTAGAATGTCCTCCAGGACCTGCCATGCTGTTGGTGGGAGTTTCCTTAACATGCTCAGATAGTACAACCAGGGTTTACTGAGCTGCAAGGTCGAGCAGCAGCCAGTTTCCTTGCCATCTTGTTTTTGACTGTAACTTACTTTGTCATCACATCCTGTTTTTCATCAGGGTGATTAGGGGCTTTTGACTTTGTGTTAAGATGTGCCTGCTGGTTCCCTATCTCATAGCCATCTGAAAATTCTAGTCATCCTCTATAAAATGGTTGCGTGTCAGTTATAACCTTAGGACTATAGCCTGAATAAGCTCTTAAATGTCTATTACAACTTCATCTCCAGATATGCAAACCAAGGAAGAGCTACGATCACTCTTCTACCCACCCTGAGAAGAACTCAGTACGGGCTATTTGCTCTGCCCCCTTTTTTGTATGTTCCTCTCATGTAGATTTACTGAGCACCAATTAGAACCTCACAAGAATCCCATCAAGCACCTCATGGCCCACCTCCTTCACCCTCCCCTTTCTTCTGTTTATGCCCCCTTTCCTTTAAATTCAAAAGTTCTCAGGCTTTTCTAGGGAGCACCCAGTGCATAAGAGATGCTTTGTGGGCTGTGCTTTTCCTGGGCACATCTTTTGAATCTTGGCTTAAGAAACCTCCATAGAGTGTGGCTCTCATTTTTGGTCACTTATTAAGTTAACAATCCCTGTTATCACAAATGACTGGCTTTTACTTGTTTATGTCTGAATAATATTTCATGGTATATATATTCCATATTTTGTTTATTCATTCATACACTGTGGAATTATAGCCAACTACCCCTATATGTTTTTTCTTAATAGTCCTCTCCCTTAATTACTTGAACTTTTGAGTTATTTTCAGGAATTGATGAATTTTCTATAAGACAAAGGAGCTGAGATTCTGATGGTCTGCTGCCAAGAGTTACCATCCCCCACCACCTGCCCCCATGCTTTGTCCCTGGTTAGTTATGCCTGTCACCTGCCTCAAGGCAAGTGGCTCCGCCTTTAGAAGCTTAATGAGCTCCATGAGCTCCCTTAGATGGAGAGAGGGATTTCAGGCAGCTTTTCTAGTTCTCCTGATAAGACATTAGTCATATTAAAAGTCTTTTCTCCCTTGGCAATTCTCATTTCCTCAATAATTGGATTTTTGTGTGACAAGCAACTTAACCCAGCCTGATATCCCTGTAGTTTCAACAGAATCATTTATATAATTTTGAATTTTTGTGTACACTTCATTCTTGTCCTTTTATATCTTTTATTTACATTTGTAATCCCTCTTCCCTTGATACATAGGTATTTCCAAAGTTGGCCATGTGAGGCCAACATGAAGAAATAGAGTTGTTTTTAACTGTTTACAGGTATAAAATAACACTACGTAATAAGAAGTAAGTTTATTTAAACTATTCTGTTACTGAAGGTTCAGCATCTGTCCCCAAGGTCACATCAGATAAAATGCAAGGACAACTGGTTTAAGGAGAAGGAAATAGAGGTTTATTAATTTGCTGGCAAATGAGAAGAATGATAGGCTCCTGTCTTAAAGTGCCATTGTCCTTGCTGTAGGCAGAAAAACAGAGCTTTTAAAGGTAGGGTTTTCTGCTACAGGATGTTCTTTTTAACTAGAGTTGATGGCTCTGAGCCATCCCATCTCTGGGGAAGACAATCTCATGACATCCACCAGGACAATTCTGTTAAGCCACTTGTGGTACAAAGACCAAAGGATGCTCCCCTCCCAATTGATCACTGGGCCTAGCAGGCATTCAGGTTTTACTTCTCCAAATGGTGAGGGGGTTTTAAGGGAAGAGAACATATTTTTACCCTTTCTCAGGACTCTCCCTCTGTTACAGTTCCATGCCACATTTTGGCTGATTTATTTGTTGTAATATTATTTTACGAAATCTACTGACAATATAATGCACAAAATCATTTGATTTAATATAAAGTAAAAATATTTTGTAGAAAAGAATCCTGCATTGCTGTGCCATGCACTTATCTAAATATGCTAATTTACTTAACAATTATTATTAGAACTTTTAATACTGAAGGAAAAATAATAGCCAAAAAACTTGTCCCTGAAGACATCTGAATTGTAAATGAGCAAATCTTTAAAGAAAAGAAGCCAGCACCGTGAAAGCAAAGTACAATACTTGCTCCATAGCACATATTAGTTTTTCCAAAAATAACATTTAAAGTCATTTCCTTCAGCTTCAATTATTTGTGGATTAACATAAATATATTTTTAAAAATTCTCATTGGTAATTACCAGAGCTTTACTAAATGACTAATTTCTTAGCCATAAATCATACACTTTTGCTTGATGGAGTGGATTATTTCTGTAAATTGCTGTCAGGCAGAACAAACAGTCTTAAAGCTTAATTCTAGCTCTAGGTCATGTTTTCTTAATAGTTAGATGAGTATGTTGATATGGAAAATGTCTCTTATATCAACTGAATTCATTAAAAATTCTGTTTTTTGAAAAAACTCCAAGTGGCCGTGCTCAGATGGGGAGTCCCATGCATCGGCTCGTAGCCCAAGACAAGCTGAAGCAAATAAGCAACGTGTGAGATGTCAGAACTGCTTGGAATTTGGACATTGGACTTACAAAAGCACAGGAAAAAGAAAATACCTGCATAGGCCTTCAAAAACAGCAGAACTGAAGAAAGCTTTCAAAAAAAAAAAGAAAACAGGTTGTTATTCAGCAAGGCATTGGAGAAACGAATGCAGAAAGAAAGACCAAGAACAAAAGGTCTCAAAGCTAAGCAGTTCCAGTGGCAGCAGCAGTGGCCGTTCAGCCAGTGACTCTTCATCAGGCGGTGAAGAGACGCCTGCCTCACCCTCCGCAGAACACAGGGACTCGGCTGAAAGCCCCACTGGTGCACCGTCTGCAGCCTCCTCCACCAGCTGTCCCTGGTCCTCTGGCTCAGACTCACATCCCATCTCTTAGTAGCAGCAGCACAGATCACAGCTCCGAGGAGGAACCACCGAAGAAGAGGAAAAAGAAATAGAATTGCTCCATTCATATTGGACTGCTGTGCTGACAACATTAATGTGGTTCTCAAGAGGGAATTTAGAAAATATGTGAAGGCCAAATAGGTTCACTGGTCACAATTTCTAGAATTCAAGAATTTCTAAATGTTTTTTTATTGTAAGCGCATAAGGAGTTTAATAACAGATTATATATAGGGTGGGGCCCGTGGCTCAGTAAGTAGGGTGCTGGCCCTGTATACCCAGGGTGATGGGTTCAAACCGAGCCTCAGCCAAACTGCAAAACAACAAAGAATAGCCCAGTGTTGTGGTGGTGCCTGTAGTCCCAGATACTTGGGAGGCTGAGGCAAGAGAATCCCTGAAGCCCAAGAGTTGGAGGTTGCTGTGATCTGTGATGTCACAACACTCTATGGAGGGTGACAAAGCGGGACTCTGTATTTTACATCTGTTTTTTATAAATTCTATTCTATTTAAAGAAGAATTAAGGTCTGCGTAGGAAGCAATCAAAATAAATAAGAAGTCATTCCTGAAATCATGATTTTAAAATTTACATACTTCTTCTAACAAAGATCTTTACTCATTCAAATGACATTAAAAATCATTTAAAAAAATCTCAATTTGGAGGCATATTATGACAGAAATTGTTGAACAAAGAAAATCAATTTTTCTATTGATTTCTAATCATTTCTAAGATGACTGAAAGGTTTTATTGCTACCCAGAATATGTCATCATCTTGTGACACTGTAGTCATCACATGAATGCAAGTTGTATGTCAGAATAATGTGTTTTACTCACCAAAATGTTGCACATCTGCTCACATGTAGAAATTATTTTTATTTTTAGCTTTAACCTATTTACTGAAAAAACACACTCATTTACTTTTTTCTATAAAAAATATTTAAATCAGTAACATAATACAGCCACAACTTTTGCCACCTCTGCCGGTCACTTCTATTATTACTTACTTAATATTTTTTGGTATTAACATTTGTTTTTAAAAATCTAAATTACATAGAAAACTTCAGAGCATTTCCATGAGAAAACCTAGAATGATTTGCAATAAATGGAATTAACTATTCACTAACGCAAGAATGAAGACAAGATAGTATTATTTAATTTCACCAACGCATGTCAAAAATGAGGCCAAATTTTCTCTATTGAAAAGAAAATTAATGAACAGTAGATATTTTAGGCTTGGAACAAATTGAAACTTTCTCTGTTAAAAGGAACAAAAGAATAAAAGGAATAAATATCTTCTTTTTTAATGTCACATCAATGCTAACTTATTCTTAGCATGTTAAATTCAAGAATTATGGGAACAGAAATCAAACAAAATATTTTTCATAATAATATCATCAAAAAACATGCCATCAATTAATGGTCTTTATAAATGTTAGAGATTCAAAACTGTAGCCAAGACCAAAATGAAATATTTTCATGATTAGTTTTGTGTTGATTATAAATGAGTCAAAATTCAAGTCTGAATCTTTACCAGTTTTAACAATAATAATGAAACATTTATTATCTGGAAAATAGAATGCTGGGCTTCTGTAAGTACTCTCCTTCTTTTTTTTTTTTTTTTTGTCTGTGAAAAGAGCCTGCTTTATTGGGAAGCAGAGTGCTGCACACTGACCAGCAGATGAAGGCTACCCAAGGGGCAGCTTACACATCATATTCCAAAAGATACAGAGGATGTTTGCTAATATCAGAACATGGACGACTCTGGGCAGCTTCTCCAACCTCATGTCTCTGGGGTCAGGTTAACTCCCATTTTCCTGATAGCAACTGTGGTTCACTCGAGATAAAGCCCCTCAGGGGTGTCTTCTTGTTTTTTATACAGAACATTTTCTTTAGATTTTTTGAAGTCTTCATTTGTTACTTTCATTCTACGTTCTCTTCAGGCCATCAGACCAGCTTCTGTACAAATTGCCTTAATGTCAGCACCAGAGAGGTCATCTTTAGCCATGATCAAGTCATCCAAAGTTACATCATCAGCCAAGGTCATCCTGCTTGTGTGAATCTGAAAGATGCGCTTCTTAGTCTTTTCATCAGGCAGGGGAAACTCTATCTTCCTGTCAATGCGGCCTGGTCTGATAAGAGCTGGATCCAAAGTTTCTATTCGGTTTGTAGCCATAATAAGTTTCACATCTCCCCTTGAATCAAATCCATCCAACTGGTTCAACAGTTCCAACATTGTCCACTGAATTTCTCTCTCACCACCAGAATTTGAGTTATATCTTTTTGTCCCAATGGCATCAATTTCACCAATAACACAATGGAAGGTGCATGTTCTTCAGTAACTTCAAACAATTCCCGAACAAGTCTGGGCCCATCACCTAGGTACTTCTGAATGAGTTCAGAGCCAACCACTCTCAAGAAAGTGGCCGAGGTTTGGTTTGCTACTGCTGTGGCTAACAAGGTTTTACCTGTGCCAGGCGGACCATAGAGAATGACCCCTTTAGGGGGCTTTATACCCATCTCTTCATAATATTTAGGATGGGTGAGAGGAAGCTCTACAGATTCCTTAATTTCCTGGATTTGGTTGTCCAAGCCCCCAATATCAGCATAGGTTTCCTGGGGTGCCTTTTCCACCTTCATCACTGTGACCAGGGGATCTGTGTCATCCATCAGCACCCCTATCACGGCATGCACCTTGTGGTTGAGCAGGACCAAACAGCCTGGTTCCAGCAGATCCTTGTCTACAAATGAAAGGATGCTGACATAGTGTTCTGAGCCCACAGATGTGGACACGATGGCATGATTGTCATCAATGATCTCTTCCAAGGTTCCTACTGACATTGGGGTTCCTCTCAGATCTTCCACTTTTGATCTTTCCTCCTCTTGCTTTTCCTCTAATTGTTTCGTTTGTTCCAGATTTCTAATGAATTCTTCCTCCATGAGAAGATAGTCTTTAATTCTCTCTAACTTCAACAATTTTAATCGGCACTGAGTGTGAGGTGTCACCAGTGGTAGTTTGCTTGCTGCATCTGGTCCCTGTTTTCTTCTTCTATTTCCCCACTCTGGTTGGTACAAGAGGTTCATATTTCTTTTTCTTATCCTTGTCATCCTTCTTGCCACCTCCAGGACCATGGCCACCACTCTGACTTTGACCCATCTTGTCTCGGCCGCTTGCTCTCTACTCTCCTTAATTGAACATTGTGCTTATATGAAAAAGTTTAATGGATATGATTTTTTTCACTAGCGGTCTACATAAAGTAAATGTGTTTCAACCTTGGAATTTTGTTGTGGGAAAAAGTGTACTGGATTTATATGATGTCAAACATGGTGACTATATTTTAAATCTGAGTTCAATGAAAAATAAATATAAACTCTTCCAAAAATGGCCAATAGATACCTACTGAAATCAAGTTTGAAAACATATTCATAAGTATTTTTTGTGCATTATGGTATTGCTTACTGCTATTGCTGATAGTAACAAAAGCAACAGTAATAGCTTCCTTAGACCTTTACTGAAACTTGACGTTAAACCTTGTATCTCAGGCATCCTATTATGTCCTTTAATCTTCTCAACAGCCTCCTCACAATTTCATCTGAAATTATCTTGTACAAATAGGACAATATTGCAGCTCAGTGAAAGATCACTCATTAATGACTCATTAGACTATTCACAACTTTGTTGGACAACACGGAATATAATACCAGCTCTAAGTAATACTTCTGAGTAGTCGACCATTACCAAAATAAGAGTAAAACAAGATAAGAGTCGTTCTTGACCTTAAGTAAGTGTTTTCTGCTATTATGATCTTACAGGGAATGCTGACGGTTGGAACATCAGATCCATTAACAGAACTCTTTATGGCTGTAAGCGTGACAGCAGAAATGAAGAAGGGCTGAACTGATCTACTCCAAGCTAGGAGCCTGTAGTAGCAGCCAAATGTCACAATAAGAATCTCTTCTGGTCCTGATGTGGTTCTTAGTTTAGTGTGAAGGAGAATAGGTCTGACCCAGAGACATGGTAATGATGGCATCTATCACGGCTTTAGCACTGAAAAAAAAAAATGCTAAGATAAATGAAATCTTAAATGCGCTGTTAACATGGAGCTTTGTGCCCATTTAAAGCTTTCTGATTTGAGTTCTGCAATGCAGTTTTCCAAGTCTTCTTCCTGAAAGCAAGTAAGTTATATCACGTGCTAAGATTTGGTTGTCAGGATTTTATTAGTAAGTTTATGGGAAAGGAAATTATTTGAGTGAGCAAAAGCGTATTTATATGAATAGAAAAGCACGTAAAACCAGCTTGGCGAGAAGCTGAGCATTTTGAAGAAGCAAGATTACTTTATGGGCATTGATAAAATGTACTAAATTGAACCAGAATCTGGCAAAACCTGGGCACTGGTGAAAAAGTTCAGAGGATTCCATTGTCTTGGCATTTGTAGCTTATCCTGAATAATAATCTATTTATTGTATAATAATAATCTATCTATTTATTTGAGCACTTGTTGAGTATCATATAAGTATCATGCCTATGCTATGCAGTCTTTGAAACAATGGCCAGAGAGAACAATCGGCCCAGAGGCAGATGGCTAATTACTGCTCTGTGAGGAATAAAGAAAAATATGTTATAGAGGCGGTGCTGGTGCTCAGTGGGGAGGGCGCCCGGCCACATACACCAAAGCTGGCGGTTTGAACCCAGCCTGGGCCAGTAAAACAACAATGACAATTGCAACAACAACAACAAAAAGCTAGGAATTATGGCAGGCATCTGTAGTCCCAGCTGCTTGGGAGACTGAGGCAAGAGAATTGCTTAATCCCAAGAGTTTGAGGTTGCTGTGAGCTGTGACTTCACAGCACTCCACCAAAGGGCAACAACTTGAGACTCTGTCTCCAAAAAAAAAAAAAAGTATATAACGAGGAATCTGAGAAAAACCTTGAAGATGCATCAGAATCAACCAAGAGGACAGTGCCAGAAAAAGCAGGGTGGGTACAGGGCAGCAGGGGCGCAGGGTCAGGCACAATGCCTCATACACAGCACTCTGTGGGCAATGGCAAGGCACAGATCTGAAGATAAAGAAAGGGCCTCAGAGATGTGGAAACAGCAATATTTAAAAGTAAGGATTAAATAATCACCAGGGTTACCTCTGCAGATGATAATTCCTTCTTAGAAGGACTACTTAAATTTTAGTATGTCAATTTTATTTTAGAAAAATTGCTGATTATTAATGGAAATATTTTGCAAATCAAACCTGAAGATCTTGCTTCTTATATGAGGTAAGCAGACGTAGGAAGAGACTTTCTTAGGGACACTTACATGATGACCCACTAGATGCCTGGTCAGTGCGATTGGGGCTCAGGATGCACCTCTGAGAATAGCCAAGAAAGGCAGTGTCAGGGAGACTGCACGTCCTGAAAGACCCAGGCTGTGTCCTGGAGTGAGAGATACAGACTGGATTCTCTAAGTGCGTGAAAGTAACTGATATTTTAAGGCCCCCAAAGAGATGTGATGCTATTGGAATTGAGAAATAAAAGTGAAGTCAGAAGTTCTGGAGTAAGACAGTACAATTTTTTTGATATTTAATACAGAGGGCCCAAGCAGAGAAATCTAGGAGACAAGAATAAAAAGTGAGGAGAAAAATTATTGGACATCATACATTTTTGCAATAAAAATCAAATAGTTGATTGGTTATTAATCTTCCTATCTCTTTACTGATAAATAAGGAGTTTGAATAAAATTGATCCTTAAAGTAAGGTTCTTATTACTAAAAATCCTGGGCATAATTTATGCTACTATGTGAATATGGAAAGGCATTTCTGAGAATGTTTGGGTAATCAAACATATGTATACTTTACTTTATCATGGACCAGAGTTTCTTTTATTAGTGAAGAAACATTTAGCTTATTTTTACTAATAGAATTATGTTTCATTAAATATATAATATATTTGCAATTTACTAACCTTAAAATATTTCCAATGTTGCCTCTTGCAACTTGATAGAGGTCTAATACACACAAAATTACAGCAAGAAATAGATAAATAATTGGCAAGGTTGAGAAATTAAAATGCAATAAAAATATTCACATGTGCTCTTTCTACTCTAGGAAAACTTTCTGACTCAACAACTACATTCACTAGATTTTTTTTTGTGAAGACAGAAAGCATGTATTTTTTAAAACTCTTTGTATTGTTGACATTGAAAATTGTTCTTTAATAAAAAACCCTAATTGCTAGTTAATTAAGTAAAAATGAATGAATGAATGACTTAGGCTGTTTACCATGATTGATGTTTTCAATGGATACAACTTTTAATGTATTAATTCCATTTGTATTACAAACAAATCAACTTTCAAGATTTTAATTTATGTTTCATTTTTATATGAATTTTCCTGCTCTAAAGATAATGTTTTTTATCCATTATTCTCTGTAGTGAATAAACACAGAATTACTATGAGAATATCTTTTTTTAGACAAATTATAAAAATAGAAGAAAGATTATGTTTGTATATATAGAGAGTAAAAGGATAACAGTGGCAGAAAGAAAGAGAAACTACACATTAATACATTCTTCATTCTTCTCCCATTCTTTCAAATAGGAATGTTCACATTTTATTTTATTTATTTTGCAAAGAAAGGGAAGGCCTCTTGAATGAAAAAAATTGCTTGAATTAAACATAGTTGATAAAGAGAGTAAGAGAGTTAAATGTTCATGACTGAACATGACCACACTATTTTCTAAATTAGTTTTCACAAAGAGTTCCTAAAAAAAATCAAATGACAAGAAGACATTTTGAAATAAGGAAATAGGAGCCAGTCTAATTTCCTTGGATCACAAACTTGGTATCTCTTGGACACAATTTAAAGTTATATAACAGAACTGAGAATCTTGTGAACACAGCTAATGAAATAATTTGTGAATATTTGCTGTCCTGGAAGGGCATAAATAAAGCAGAATGATTTCAACTCATGGATTTATGAAAGTCTTCTTTGGAGCAGGCATTTCTCACAGCAAGTAGAGACAGCAAATGCATCAATTGATATTACACAAAGTATTAACTTAAAAGTTCAAAGAAAAAAATATGAAAATCTCTTGTAGCCCAAGAGAATACCTAAGAAATATAAGTTCAATGAAATTCTGCATAAATCAAAAGTGATTTGTTTAGTTATCTAAATTGCAGAACTAGAATTTGAATGCTAAGTACACTGGTATTTTATGCATTGCTTAGCCACTGTCATTATTAGTCAGACTGATAATAATTATTCAAGGCATGTATTTGTATATATCTATGTCTTGATAAATACTCACATATGTATACTGTATGAGACAGATGAGGTCTAACATGAAATACGTTCTTTGTTACAAACATATGTAACAAAATGAATGAAAAATACAATAGGCTGTAAATTATTGTTTTGGATAATATTTGAGTACAAATGGAATTTAAAAGCAAAATTCTCATTATATATTTGATGAATTTTACTTAAGAATCATGAAATAGGCTGGACATAGTGGCCCACACTTGTGATCTCAGCAGCTCGGGAGGCTGAGGTGAGAGGATTGCTTGAGGCCAGGAGTTTGAGATCAGGCTAGGAAGCATAGTAAGAACATTGTATCTACAAATAATAATAATTCATAATAATAATCTGGACATGGTGGCCCAGCTACTCAGAAGGCTGAAGCAGAAGGATTACTTGAGCTAACCTACTCCAGCCTGAGTGACAGAGTAAGACCCTGTCTCTTAGAAAAAGGAAAAAAGAAAAAGTCATGAAACTATTCAATTTTCAGCTGACCAAGATACCTGCATAATCAGAGAGGTGCAAACCAGATTATGATATTGGTGTTTTTGTCATTCCCTCCCAATTTGTTGATAGACAATGCACTGTTTTTTATCAGTGGTTTAACAGGATGGTAGTGGTGGTAAGAAAAATCCAAAGAGGTCTTGACATTTGCAAATTAAGTTAGGTACAAATTTTCTCATAAAAAATAATAAAGGCTTGGTGCCCGAAGCTCGTGATTAGAGTGCTGGCCACGTGCACAGGGGCTGGTGGGTTTGAACCCAGCCAGAGCCTGCTAAACAACAATGACAACAACAAAAACAAAATATCCAGGTATTGTGGAGGGCCCCTGTAATCCTAGCTACTAGGAAGGCTGAGGCAAGAGAATTGCTTAAGCCCAAGATTTTGAGGTTGCTGTGAGCTGTGATGCCACGGAACTCTACCCAGGGTGACATAGTGAGACTCTATCCCCCCCCAAAAGGAATATACTCATTTGACAATTTCCAGTTGCTTCCAGTTTCTAGATTCTGAATATTGCCTTCAATCTCTATTCTAGGAATTGCACAACTAAACTTAAGTGTTTCTTATGTTGCATTCACTATACATTTTTAATAAAGAGTGAACATGTTGGACTGAGGGTTGGTTTACTTGAATGATTGTTTAAATTTATCGCTGCCTTCACAGTCCCTGCTCCTTTTTTACTGGGTATTTTGTATTATCAAATTTTTTCAAAAATGAAAATGAGTGAGAGTGTGTGTATCCACAGAATGGCGCACGGATTGGTGGTATATGTCTAAAATGATGCTACTGAATATTTTGGTGTGAGCGATCTTAGATAATGAATCATTTCTTCTCCTGGTTTGTGGCTTTCTGTGATGGACATGGATTATATTTTGTGATAGAGAGAAATACATTTTTACTTTTTGCTTGGTAGATCAAACAACAGCAAAAATGTGGTTTTACAAAAATAGAATTTTACAGAAAGTAGGACTAGTATCTTTGTGATTAACAGTATGAAAAGTCTGATAGCCAAAGAAACATTCTTTATGTCTACATAAGACAGTCAAATATGAAAATGCTTAGGAAGATTAATTTAATGAGGTGATTCAGCTGCTGAAACCTATAAAAATGCAATATGCTGAGGCTGACTTTAATATATGATGTATACAAATTGCTGATGGGCAAAAAGGAATAACTTTAGGAACTCTGAAATTTATAGTGAGTTCAAACGTTCTTGATGAGTTCTTTAAATGCCGGGAGACATTCGGTTATAAAGTAGCATTCTCTTCCTGTGCCCCAGGCTCGGTCGTGAGGATTAACCATATCTGCCAGGTAACATGGTTGAGATCACTCTAGACCTAGTTCTTTCTGCTGAAGGTATTTTGCTAAGATCTTGCACCTTAGCACTTGAAAATCTAGCATGAAGTAAAACATCCAGGAGTCAAACGATTGAAATACTATAATGTTTCATGGTCGGTGAGGCCATTTGTTTGTTAGGAATAGGAATTGTGGGAGAGCCAGTGCCACTTTCGGACCAAGTCCTCTGCCTGAGGACACGCCGAGATTCTCCCCAGCCTCCCTTTGGATAGGTTGGAACCATGTGACCAGGTCCCTGCCATGTCAGAGTCTGTGTGAGTTTTAAGCACACTCTTTTTCTCTTTCACTTCAAGTAAAGTGTTCTGAGTGGCTGCAGTTTCTGCAGAAATTCAGCCTGGATTGTAAAGATGGGGGAAGGTGGGAAAGAGCTCCCACAATGGAGCATTTAATAATCAAGTAATAAACCCAAACATGGTAAGACTCTGGGGTTGATTCTATGGTGTGGCTAACCCTACCTTGATAAGACCAACACATGGTACCCCCTAAATGCGTTAATGTACTCAGCTATGATTTAATAAAGAAAAAGAGTTGAGAAGATGATGTACTTCTGTATTATTTTCTAAATATTAAGGTGTTTTGGTTTAGGCAACACCATACATAATATTTTCATAGTAAAGTTAATTTTTTACGACACTCAAAAACCTTGCCTGATCTCTCCATCGTCCAGGGCACATGGCAGTGTACTCCCTCGGGGCACTCTGGTTTTCCCAAGGCCTTGTAACAGGAAGGAAAAAGTAGCTCACACAACAGAAATTGCTGCTCCTGCATTCAGAGGCGTGAGATAGCGTATTTTAGCCATGGATCTGTTTTTTGGGAAATACATTTACAGAGAGCTCTTTGATTTGGAGAGAAAAGCCAGAAACCAGGCGTATAGAAGAGCAGTTTACACCAAATAACCAGCTTACACTGCGTAA